CATGCAGCACGCATGTCACGCATGGCCCGCCCAGCAGCCATTGGGAAGGGGCAGGGGGGAAGGTGGCGGAAGGAGGAGAGGCAGGGGGAGGAGAGGCAGGGGGAGGAGAGGCAGGGGGAGGAGAGTTGGAAGAGAGGGACGGACGGCGAGAAAGAGGGGCAGAGGAGGGGCAGAGGAGGGCACCTGGAAGTGGAAGAACCATCTGTGGGCGCCTCCTCCATGGCCCGGGCGGAAGTAGTAGGCCGGTGGTGACCCGTCCAAACACACTGCGGCAGGCAGCGCGCAGGGCAGGAGGGGGAAGGGTGGTGCACAGGGGGGTGTGTGAGGGGAGAGTTTGGCACACAGGGGGATGTGTAAGGGGAGGATAGTGCGGGTTGTGAGAGGGGAAAGGGCACGTAGGTGCACTGAAACTCTCACGCACGGCATGCTGCAGTGGGTGCGCAAGGGAAAGTCTCACCAGCCCCGTCCGCCGCTGCCTCGTGCACCACCACCAGCCTCAGCGGCCTTGCCACCCCTCCTCCTCCCGCTGCCGCCGCCGCCGCCGCTGCTGCTGCCACTGCCCGTGCTCGAACTTCCTCCTTCGCGTTGCCCTCTGCTGCATTCGCCACCCCACCACCGCCACCTTTCTCGCCGCCTGCATTCTCGACGCCCGCATTCTCGACGCCGCCATTCCCACGCCCAACTTTCGCCCCTTCCGCTGTCACCGCAACCTCCCCTCTGCTCTCCTCCCCCTCCTCCTCAATCCCGTTCCCCCGCACCGGTCGTTCCGCCATGCCTTGCAACCCCCGCTCGCACCGTCGCCCGTTTCTTCGCCGCGCGTGACCCCTGCGCGCTGCTCCCCCGACCTGGCTAGCGCGGGCTCCGCCAACAGAAGCATTGGCGGAGAATGCGCGCGCCATCGGGCAAAGGCGAGCGCAAGGGCGACGGCGAGCGCTAAGACGAGAAGCAGTGCGGCGGGGGGGCGGAAGGTCGTCGCCGAGGGACACGTGACGAGGGACTGCGATCGAACATATCGCACATGGTGTCGCATGGCATCGCAGAGTGGGGTCAGGCAAGCAGGGCGATGCTTCAGTGTGGTGTCACTTGTTGCAGACCTCACAGGTGCAAAATGCGCCTACGTCTCATACGCGTCAGGGAACGATGGGTTCGATACAGTATTTGACTCCTTTGAGGCATCGAGATTTTCAAGCAAAAAAGAATGTTTCCTTTTGAGAAACAAAAACATAGCAAGAAAAAGGCATGATGAGGATCTTCGCCGTGAGCCTTGCAGCGCTTCCTTTATTTTGCCAAAAAGGTATTTTTTTCTTAGGAAAGGCGCCTAATCCGTTCTACTGCTTTGCACAACTTCTAAGGGCTCTTGTGCTAATAAGCAAGAAAGTGTAGAATGAACAGCTCGGTTAAAACAGGCAAGAATCTGACACGTTTAACGAAGCAACTTTATGTGCATTGCGCCGCTGTGGCGGTACAAACATCCTTCCTGTCGACCAGCGCATTCATCGCGACATTCAATCTCGCTTCTCGCCCCACCATCCTCGTTTGCTCTCGCCGCAGCGCCGCACTCGGGACTGCCCCCTCCTTCTTTAACGTCGCGCGCCTCGCACGGCCCCTCCGCCCGCCGTCGCCAGCGTCGCGCGGCGGCACATCCGCGCCAGTCGCAAAGAAGCCCGCTTGCGAACCGTTCTGCCAAACGCCGCACTACCAGGTTGGTGGCCCCTATCGCACCACCTCTGCGTCTCCGCTTCTAGCCTTGTAAGATTCTCGCGCCCGCTCATTCGCCGCCCTCTCATTCCCCGCCCGCTCATTCCCCGCCCTCTCATTCCCCGCCCTCTCATTCCCCGCCCTCTCATTCCCCGCCCCCTCATTCCCCGCCTGCTCATTCCCCGCCCTCTCATTCCCCGCCCTCTCATTCCCCGCCCCCTCATTCCCCTCCCGCTCATTCCCCGCCCCCTCATTCCCCGCCCGCTCATTCCCCGCCCTCTCATTCCCCGCCCTCTCAATCCCCTCCCTCTCATTCCCCGCCCTCTCATTCCCCTCCCTCTCATTCCCCGCCCGCTCATTCCCCGCCCTCTCGTTCCCCGCCCTCTCGTTCCCCGCCCGCTCGTTCCCCGCCCTCTCGTTCCCCGCCCGCTCATTCCCCGCCCGCTCATTCCCCGCCCGCTCATTCCCCGCCCGCTCATTCCCCGCCCGCTCATTCCCCGCCCGCTCATTCCCCGCCCGCTCATTCCCCGCCCGCTCATTCCCCGCCCGCTCATTCCCCGCCCTCTCATTCCCCTCCCTCTCATTCCCCGCCCTCTCATTCCCCTCCCTCTCATTCCCCGCCCCCTCATTCCCCGCCCTCTCATTCCCCGCCCGCTCGTTCCCCGCCCTCTCATTCCCCGCCCGCTCATTTCCCCGCCCGCTCATTCCCCGCCCGCTCATTCCCCGCCCGCTCATTCCCCGCCCGCTCATTCCCCGCCCGCTCATTCCCCGCCCGCTCATTCCCCGCCCGCTCATTCCCCGCCCGCTCATTCCCCGCCCGCTCATTCCCCTCCCTCTCATTCCCCGCCCTCTCGTTCCCCGCCCGCTCATTCCCCGCCCGCTCATTCCCCCGCCCGCTCATTCCCCGCCCGCTGATTCCCCGCCCGCTCATTCCCCGCCCGCTCATTCCCCGCCCGCTCATTCCCCGCCCGCTCATTCCCCGCCCGCTCATTCCCCGCCCGCTCATTCCCCGCCCGCTCATTCCCCGCCCTCTCATTCCCCGCCCTCTCATTCCCCTCCCTCTCATTCCCCGCCCTCTCATTCCCCTCCCTCTCATTCCCCGCCCTCTCATTCCCCTCCCTCTCATTCCCCACCCTCTCGTTCCCCGCCCTCTCATTCCCCGCCCGCTCATTCCCCGCCCGCTCATTCCCCGCCCGCTCATTCCCCGCCCGCTCATTCCCCGCCCGCTCATTCCCCGCCCTCTCGTTCCCCGCCCTCTCGTTCCCCGCCCGCTCGTTCCCCGCCCTCTCGTTCCCCGCCCGCTCATTCCCGCCCGCTCATTCCCCGCCCGCTCATTCCCCGCCCTCTCGTTCCCCGCCCTCTCGTTCCCCGCCCGCTCGTTCCCCGCCCTCTCGTTCCCCGCCGCTCATTCCCCGCCCGCTCATTCCCGCCCGCTCATTCCCCGCCCGCTCATTCCCCGCCCGCTCATTCCCCGCCCGCTCATTCCCCGCCCGCTCATTCCCCGCCCGCTCATTCCCCGCCCGCTCATTCCCCGCCCTCTCATTCCCCGCCCTCTCATTCCCCTCCCTCTCATTCCCCGCCCTCTCATTCCCCTCCCTCTCATTCCCCGCCCTCTCATTCCCCTCCCTCTCATTCCCCACCCTCTCGTTCCCCGCCCTCTCATTCCCCGCCCGCTCATTCCCCGCCCGCTCATTCCCCGCCCGCTCATTCCCCGCCCGCTCATTCCCCGCCCGCTCATTCCCCGCCCGCTCATTCCCCCGCCCGCTCATTCCCCGCCCGCTCATTCCCCGCCCGCTCATTCCCCGCCCGCTCATTCCCCGCCCGCTCATTCCCCGCCCTCTCATTCCCCGCCCTCTCGTTCCCCGCCCGCTCATTCCCCGCCCTCTCGTCCCCCCCCCTCATTCCCCTCCCTCTCATTCCCCACCCTCTCGTTCCCCGCCCTCTCATTCCCCGCCCTCTCATTCCCCGCCCTCTCATTCCCCGCCCGCTCATTCCCCGCCCGCTCATTCCCCGCCCGCTCATTCCCGGCCCGCTCATTCCCCGCCCGCTCATTCCCCGCCCGCTCATTCCCCGCCCGCTCATTCCCCGCCCGCTCATTCCCGGCCCGCTCATTCCCCGCCCGCTCATTCCCCGCCCGCTCATTCCCCGCCCGCTCATTCCCCGCCCGCTCATTCCCCGCCCGCTCATTCCCCCCGCCCGCTCATTCCCCGCCCGCTCATTCCCCGCCCGCTCATTCCCCGCCCGCTCATTCCCCGCCCGCTCATTCCCCGCCCGCTCATTCCCCGCCCGCTCATTCCCCGCCCGCTCATTCCCCGCCCGCTCATTCCCCGCCCTCTCATTCCCCGCCCTCTCATTCCCCTCCCTCTCATTCCCCGCCCTCTCATTCCCCTCCCTCTCATTCCCCGCCCTCTCATTCCCCTCCCTCTCATTCCCCACCCTCTCGTTCCCCGCCCTCTCATTCCCCGCCCGCTCATTCCCCGCCCGCTCATTCCCCGCCCGCTCATTCCCCGCCCGCTCATTCCCCGCCCGCTCATTCCCCGCCCGCTCATTCCCCGCCCGCTCATTCCCCGCCCGCTCATTCCCCGCCCTCTCGTTCCCCGCCCGCTCATTCCCCGCCCTCTCGTTCCCCGCCCGCTCATTCCCCGCCCGCTCATTCCCCGCCCGCTCATTCCCCGCCCGCTCATTCCCCGCCCGCTCATTCCCCGCCCGCTCATTCCCCGCCCGCTCATTCCCCGCCCGCTCATTCCCCGCCCGCTCATTCCCCGCCCTCTCGTTCCCCGCCCGCTCATTCCCCGCCCTCTCGTTCCCCGCCCGCTCATTCCCCGCCCGCTCATTCCCCGCCCGCTCATTCCCCGCCCGCTCATTCCCCGCCCGCTCATTCCCCGCCCGCTCATTCCCCGCCCGCTCATTCCCCGCCCGCTCATTCCCCGCCCGCTCATTCCCCGCCCGCTCGTTCCCCCCCCCTCTCGTTCCCCGCCCTCTCATTCCCCGCCCGCTCATTCCCCGCCCGCTCATTCCCGCCCGCTCATTCCCCGCCCGCTCATTCCCCGCCCGCTCATTCCCCGCCCGCTCATTCCCCGCCCGCTCATTCCCCGCCCGCTCATTCCCCGCCCTCTCGTTCCCCGCCCGCTCATTCCTGCTCTCTCGCCCGCTCTCGCAGAAAGCCACACTGCGCGTGAAGCGTCGCGTTTTGAGTTCTCGAAGGGGCCCCGCCCGTGCGGCATGCTCACTTGTCTCGCGTGCCCCTTGCTCCTGTGCTCACTTGTCTCTCTCGCTCTCTGCACCGCCCTCTTCCCCCACAGCCATGACAGTTGACCCTGCGCCCACGCCCTCCCCCGCCGCACCCACGGCCGCCGTGCCTGCACAGCCCGCCACGGGGCCAGGCGTGGGAGGGCAGGAAGGGGGCGAGGCAGAGAGCAAGGGGAGCGCGGCAGCAGCTGAGAAGGGCACGGATGAAGCATGGGGGCCCAAGGGGGAGTCCGCCGCAGCAGAGGGAGAGAAAGAGGAGGGAGCAGCAGCCGGAGCAGCTGCAGCAGCAGCAGCAGCAGCAGCGACAGCAGCGGCGGTGGTGGTGGCGAAGCATCCGCTGCAGCAGCGTTGGACGCTGTGGTTTGACAACCCCCACCAGCGCGGCAAGAGTGGCGGGTGGGGCACGTCGATGCGGCAGATCTACACCTTCGGCACCGCTGAGGACTTCTGGAGGTGCGCTGCTGCCGGCCTGGCCATGCATGAGTCATGCGGCACGTCCATGCGGCAGATGTACTCCTTTTCCTCTGCAACCTGCCTCATCCTCCAGCTCCCCCTCCATCCCCTCCCCATCCCCCCGCCCCGTTCCTCCCCCCTCCCCCCCTCCCGCTCTCGCTCTCCCCTCCCCCTTCCCTCTAACCAGCCTGTACAACAATGTGACATCAGCAGCCACTCTTCCCCCGAGGATGGACATGCATCTCTTCAAGGAGGGCATTGTGCCCAAGTGGGAGGACCCTCAGTGCGAGAAGGGCGGCTCCTGGACCGTCTTCTGCCGCACCAAAGACATGTTTGACAACGTGTGGCTCAACGTGGTGAGTGTGGCTCAATGTGGTGAGTGTGGCTCAATGTGGTGAGTGTGGCTCAATGTGGTGAGTGTGGCTCAACGTGGTGAGTGTGGCTCAATGTGGTGAGTGTGGCTCAATGTGGTGAGTGTGGCTCAATGTGGTGAGTGCTGCACACGGTTCGTTCACTTGTCAAGACACCAATCAATTCAGCCCTGCTCCACAATGCTGCTGGTTGATTCGTTTTGGCAAGCCAACATCCGACTAATACAAGCTCATGTTGCCTTGCTGCCTCCTTCCCTGGGAGAGGTGGCAGCTCGTAGAGTTGATGTGAGTTGGCAAGCTGGATTCTCCTGGTAGAGTCCACTCCACCCCACATGTGCCTCGCTGCCTCCCACCTTGGGAGAGATGGCAGCGCTGCATGCTGACCGGCCCACTAGAACAGGCCGAGCAGGTGAGCTGAGCGGACGACTTGAACAGTTCATTCCCTCTTACTTGGGCTACTAACCGAGGGAGGGAACCATCTGGAGGGAGGGAACCATCTGGAGGGTGAACTCCATACCAGCAGTCCCCAGAATGTCCAAATCTCCACTTGAGTACTTGAAGGGACTGTGTTGTCTGCAACTGCCCTGCAGTCTTTCTAGAATAAGTTTCTAACGAGCTAAGCCCATTCCCTTACAGGCCAACAGCTGTGCCCCACTCCTTGCTTTCCCTCCACTGTTTCGCGCCGTGCTCCCCTGCGGTGCAGCTGCTGGCGCTGATCGGCGAGCAATTCACAGAGGCGGGGGACATTTGCGGTGTGGTAGCCAATGCTCGGCCCAACAAGGACCGAGTGGTGCTGTGGACCAAGACAGCCAGCAACGAGGCAGTGCAGGTGGGTGGTGCTGTGGACCATTGGTTTCCCCCTAACGTGCACCCGGCTGTGTTGACCCGGCTGCCGAGGTGTTCCTGCCATGTATGGCACCGTCGTCCTGACTGGGGGGCACGCAGGTGGACCACCAACTATGAATGCCACTGGCAGAGTTTTTGGTGCGTTGGGGAGTAGCCCATGATGTAGTGTAGTGTAGTGTAGTGTAGTGTAGTGTATTGTAGTGTAGTGGTAGTGTAGTGTAGTGCAGTGTATTGTAGTGTAGTGTAGTGTAGTGTAGTGTAGTGTAGTGTAGTGTAGTGTAGTGTAGTGTAGTGTAGTGTAGTGTAGTGTAGTGTAGTGTAGTGTAGTGTAGTGTAGTGTAGTGTAGTGTAGTGTAGTGTAGTGTAGTGTAGTGTAGTGTAGTGTAGTGTAGTGTAGTGTAGTGTAGTGTAGTGTAGTGTAGTGTAGTGTAGTGTAGTGTAGTGTAGTGTAGTGTAGTGTAGTGTAGTGTAGTGCCGTGTATTGTAGTGACCTGATCCCTCCCGTCCCTGGTTCTAGAGCTGTTGCATGCCTGGTACCCAGCTGGTGGGGGCCATGTTTGTGCCTCTGATGAATGAACACACTTTTTGGATTGCTGTCGGATTTGAAGCCTCGCATTCTCTCTCGTGCAGGTGAGCATCGGGCGGCAGCTCAAGGAGATCGCCGGCATTTCCGAACGGATTTCATACTCCTCCTTTGTAAGGCCCCCCACCTTTCCCCACTTGCTCCTCCCACACACTCCGGGTAACAGTGTCTTGTCCTTTCTTGCAGTAGACTCCTTCCGTCCTTTGGATTGCTTCATCTTGCTCTTTCGTCCTTCCGTCCTATACCTGCCATTCATGTGCCTTTTATGCGTCATCTTAATTCGTCCTGCTTGACAACACAGCCTGCATTGCACAGAGCCATAGCGTCACGCAGCATCGCACTGTTGCATTTCGTCTCTCCTGTGGCCCTGCCTCGTCCCTCGTTTCTGCATTGCGACACATCACATCCCCCGTCTGCTCCCCGCCAATCTTGTTTCTGCATTCTGCTCTCGTTGTCAGACGGATCAGAAGTTTTCGTCGAAAGCCAGTCAGGGTTATGTTGCTTGATGCACTGCTGTACCTCCGTCTGACCACCCAACATAGTATAGCAATGCTGCATGCTGCTGCATTGTGCTTTGCTGCTACATAGTCGCTGCTGCTGCACTCTACCAGAATGGTTGTGATACTGCTTCTTTCAAACCCAAATGTCCGTATTGTTGATGTGGCTCAATTGTTAAGTTAATATTGTTGCTGTAAGTCATTATCTTTGAGTCATGTCAAGTACCGATCCCAAGCAGCTCTATACTCGTAATGAAAACAGCACTTCAAAAAGTCATAGAAGGATAAAGTGTCACTTGTTAACGAAATGCTCTAGAGTCCAAACACTTCTGACACTTCAGCTGAAGGGGCTGGTGGGAATGAGGGGAGAAGCCACGGGGACAAGGGTGCCGAGAGGAGGGCCTGGATGCATGTAACCACCGAATTAGGTTGCAATGTGAGCTGGTGCAGGTTGAAGGCACTCAGATGGATCAACATGCATCACATGCCATGCACCACATGCCATGCACCACATGCCATGCACCACATGCCATGCACCACATGCCATGCACCACATGCCATGCACCACATGCCATGCACCACATGCCATGCACCACATGCCATGCACCACATGCCATGCACCACATGCCATGCACCACATGCCATGCACCACATGCCATGCACCACCATATATGCAACACATGCCGTGTACCAATCCATGCAGCACAATCTGTGCACAAGGTGCCAGTGCATGCATATTGCACAGGCCATGCCAGGCACTCCAATGCTGTAATCTCACCCCAAAAGATCCTCAAATGCGTTACCCACATCACCATGCATTATCACAATCTACATGTCATGCATCCCAGCACATGCCACGCATCATCTCTCCACTGCAATCCACGACCGTTGAATCCCGTGAACCTGCTTAGCGCTCCACCCGCAGCCGCGCACACACAGTGAGGCCACCTGCTTCAGCCATCTCAACACAAGCCATGCATCCCAGCAGCATCACCTCTCTACTTCAAGCCACGACCGTACAACCCCGTGGACCTGCTTAACGCTCCACCCGCAGCCGCGCACACACAGCCGGGCCACCTGCTTCTCATCCCGTATGGGCCTCAGCCATCCCGGCTGCACGTTGTTGAAGCCCACATCCAGCTCCTTCAGCTGGGGTATTAGGCTAACATGCCGCAGGAACGCCGCATGCAGGTTGCAGCACTGCTGCACCTTCAGGCGCTCCAAACTCGTAAGTAAATAAAGCTGAGCTGCGCCCTTGTAGCTGATCCCCGTGGCTGATAGGTCCAGGGATTTTAAGAGGGGCATGGTACGGCTCCACCCCCACACGTATGAAGCCGCATCCACGTTGCATCCAGCCAGCCCCAGGTCCCTCAGCTGAGAAAAGCCCTTGAAGAACGCATCGTCATTCAGGTAGGTGCCAGTGATGTGGAGAGATGTGAGGCCTGTGAGCGCAGTGAGGGCTTGCAGGTCTTGGCTGCTGCGTGCCACCCCATGCACGCCCAGCTGCTGCAAGCCCTGCAGCGCACCCACCAGCCGCCACACACTGCCATCCAAGCATGGGTACTTGGGGTTGTACAGCCCCTCGCCACAGTCACACATGCGCTTGCTGCTGGGAGTGGGCCGCTGGCAAACCCTGGAGATATCGGGCAGAGAATCGCTCCAACACTGCAGCTGCAGGTGATGGTCGTGCAGGTTTGCTGGCGCCACCTGCAGTCTCGTGAGCCTGGTGAGCTCATCCAGGTTCCTCAAGCCCCACTCACTCACTTCCTTGCAGCACGTGCAGGAGAAGGCCTCAAGGCTTGTCAACCTGCCAATCTCCTGCAGCATGTCGTTTGTGACGCGGCTGATGTGCAGCTCCCTCAGCTTCGCAAACGGCTCAGCATGACAGGCGTAGATACTTTCAGGATCCAGGTCCAACAGCTCGCTGGCGTCCGGGCAGTCCAGAACGAGCCGGTGGAGCCGAGAGAAGGGTGAGAACTGAAAGACGCCTAGTGGATTGATGGAGGTCTCCAGGATGGAGAGTGCGGTGAGGGAGGGCAGGTGGCGAAGGTAGGAAAGAGAGTGAGCAGTTATGGGCGAGAGGCGGTGGAGGGTGAGGGAAGAGAGGGAGGCATAGAGGCCGGGGGAGTGGTTAAGGAAAAAGGAAAGGCTGAGGTTGGGATTGTCCCTAAAAATGGGGTTGAGGCTTGAGATGGTGAGGTCGTGGGCTCCCTTGTGCTCTGACAGGAAGCTCATCACCTCGTCTATACTGCGCTCCCGTTCACCTTGCTCCCGAAGTGCTCGCTCCCGTGCTGTCTGCTGCCCACCCAGAGTTGGCCCCACCCCTGCACCCTCCACCACCATCCCTTGTGCCCCTTGCCCTCTTTGTGCCCCTTGCGCCCCTCGTGCCCCTGGTGCCCCTCGTGCCCCTGGTGCCCCTCGTGCCCCTGGTGCCCCTCGTGCCCCTCGTGCCCCTCGTGCCCCTGGTGCCCCTCGTGCCCCTGGTGCCCCTTGCCCTGCCCGTGCATGCAACAGCCCACTCCCGACCACTCCACCTGCCACTCCCACCCCACCTCTCCCTTCCCCGCCTGCTGCCCGCGCCCTGCTCTCCCCTCCCTTCCACCCCTCGCGACTCTCCCTCAAGGACCCTCCAGCACCTCCCCCTAAGCCCCCGCGCCCCATCTGCCCCTTCTCAGCGAGTCTGGCTGCCGTGACGCGTGCCTGGGCTTGGGGCTGCGAGGGACAAAGTGAAGGGATGTGGGGGTGAATGGGAGTGAAGGGATGTGGGGGTCAGTGGGGGTGAAGGGATGTGGGGGTCAGTGGGGGTGAAGGGATGTGGGGGTCAGTGGGGGTGAAGGGATGTGGGGGTCAGTGGGGGTGAAGGGATGTGGGGGTCAGTGGGGGTGAAGGGATGTGGGGGTCAGTGGGGGTGAAGGATGTGGGGGTCAGTGGGGGTGAAGGGAGGATGACATGAGGGTTGTCCATGTGATGGCGCATGAGAATGGATGAATCAAGAGAGTGAGAAGACGCAGTGAGAGAATGTGGAAGGAGGAGCGTCAGAGAGGAGGAGTTGAGTGAGTGAGAGTAGCCCACGGTGAAGGGGCGTTATAGCAGCAGTACCCAAGTGGAGATGACTGATGAGGCCGCAAATACTGTCTCATGACCACTGCTCTCCTCTCACAGCCACTGCTCTCCTCTCACAGCCGCTGTTCTCCTCTCACAGCCACTGTTCTCCTCTCACAGCCACTGTTCTCCTCTCACAGCCACTGCTCTCCTCTCACAGCCACTGTTCTACTCTCACAGCCACTGTTCTCCTCTCACAGCCACTGTTCTCTCACCACTGTTATGTTATCTCACCACCACTACATGACAGGGTACATCGCTTCAGCACTGCTCACCTGCACCAAGTCATAGTTGTCACCCACTTCCTCCTCCAGTGCATTCCCCATCTTCTCCTTCCCAGGCTCCTCCTCCTCCTCCTCCTCCTCCTCCTCCTCCTCCTCCTCCTCCTCCTCCTCCTCCTCCTCCTCCTCCTCCTCCTCCTCCTCCTCCTCCTCCTCCTCCTCCTCCTCCTCCTCCTCCTCCTCCTCCTCCTCCTCCTCCTCCTCCTCCTCCTCCTCATCATCATCATCATCATTCCTCCTCATCCTCCTCCTCCTCCTCCTCCTCCTCCTCCTCCCCCTCCTTCTCTCTCCCCTCTTCCTCCTCCCTTTCCACTTCAACCTGCGTCGCCCCACCACCCAGCACGTGTCTTTTCAACAGCTCACGCACTTTCCTCCTCACCTCCCGTGACTTCCCTCTTGCCCCCTCTGCATAGGCTGAAAGGGTTTCCATGTGCTGCCAGGGAAAACACACAGGCGGGGGAGACGTAAGGCCAGAGAATTGTGGCGATGGATGAGTGATGAGAAGCGATGAGAGCGGCTGGCAGTGTGGGCGAGACGGCTGGCAGATGCTGTATGGTAGGCGCGTGCTGGAGGCGGGGCGGAGCGATTCAGTGGGCCAAGGAGTGAGCAGGGGGGAATGGAATGGGGAAAAGGACTGGGGGAGGGATGGGGGAACAGGGATGAAGGAAAAGGAGGGATGTATGGGATGGGAGAATGGGATGGCTGAATGTGACGAGAAGGGGGAATGGATGGGGGAATGCGATGGGATGCGATGGGTGGCATGGTATGGTGGGCAATGGAAACGAGGGAGGGAAGCAGGAGTGTGGGAGGGATGGAAAGGTGTAGTCGGGGATGTGACGCAGAGAGCATGTACTGCAGAGCACATAGGAATGCTCGGCACATGTCGGACCTGCTTATAGATCACCTCACGCGTGTTCGATTAGCGCAATTCCGTTTCGTGGCATGGCAAGAAAGTATCACGATATGCCACGTGAGATTGCATAGATGGGGTGCGTGGGCTACTTTTGAGACGTCTCAAAAGTTTGCATAGATGGGGTGCGTGGGGTGGGGGGCCTTGAAATTGGGCCATGGGAGGAAGGGCACGGGATGGATAGAGATAGCATGGGCAACGCCACGCACCTCCCTCATGCGATGTGCTACAGCGGAGCCATCCGCCATGCGAGGTCGCTTGCGTCCGGCACTGCCTCCGTCCACAGCTTGAAAGGGCGGCGTCTCTTCCTCCAAGCAGCGAATCAGCGCCGCCCGCAGCAGCACCTCCTTCACCTTCGCCTCAACGCCCTCCTTCAATCCCGCCACTGCCCTCGCTGCCTCCCTTAACGCTACTTTCAGCTCCTTTTTGCACCTCCTCGCCTTCGCTAGAGCCTCTGTCGCTTTCCGCACCACCTCTCTCCTCTTATTCGCTTCTTCCTCTCTCGCTCTCTTCCTCTCTTCTTCTCTCATTCTCATCCTCTCTTCGACTCTCGCTCTCTTCCACTTTTCCTCCCTCTTTCTCTTTCTCGATTCTTCTCTCACCCTCGTCCTCTGTTCATCTCTCACCCTCTCCCTCTCTTCGACTCTCACTCTCTCCCTCTCTTCGACTCTCACTCTCTCCCTCTCTTCGACTCTCACTCTCTCCCTCTCTTCCTCTCTCAATCTCTCTCGTTCTTCCTCTCTCACCCTCTCCCTTTCTTCCGCTCGCACACTCTGTCTCTCTTCCTCCCTCATCATCTTCCTCTCTTCCTCCCTCATTCTCTTCCTCTCTTCCTCTCTCGCCCTGTTTCTCTCTCCCTCTATCTTCCTCTCTTCCTCTCTCACTCTCTCCCGCTCCTCTTCCCTCTCCCTCTCTTCCTCTCTCTTTCTCTCCTCCATTTCCTCAAGCCTTTCCGCCACTCTAGCCGTCACCTCGACCTCCACGGCGCGCAGCACGCACCATCGGCTAACAACCATCAGCTGCTCCAGAGACATTTCCTCCGCGCTCCCCGCTCCTCCGCCCATCGCGGCGCTCACGCGCATCGTAAAGTCGGCCTGCCGCGTCCGCGCATGCATTCCGCCTCCGCCCTGTTCTCTCGTTTCCGCGCCTCCCGCCTCCGCGCCTTCCCCATTCTCCGCTGTTGCGCCTTTCTCAGCCGTCTCGCCCTTCCCCGCCGTCGCGCCCTTCCCCGCCGTCACGCCCTTCACCGCCGTTGCGCCCTTCTCCGCCGAAATCTGCGCTTTTCCCCATTTCTGCGCCTCTCCGCCTTCACGCGCTGCCTCTCGCCGCCTGTATTGACGCAAGGAATCAAACCGTTCACCCACTATCGCTCGACGTTGCTGCTGCTCCGGGGTAACAGGATAAGGCGTTTGCTTACTACCTTCTCTCTTCGTTTGTAAAGTCTCTCCTTTCTGCATGATCGCCCCCCTGTGTGCTGCTTCCATCGCACTTTCAGCCCGGTGCCAGGGCCAGAAAGACGGCCCTGGACGCGACCTGCTACCGCAACAGTGAGGAACGAACTAGGAGTAACGATCAGAGACACGGCAAACGAAACAACGAAATACTAGAACTAGATAGAAACGCGAACTCGGGAAACTGCGATGCCAACGCTGCTGACGGCAGCAAGTGATAATGGCGCTGCCGATAGAAATCGAAGGCAATGGAAGTGACGAGAAAGTGGGGCAAGTGGGGAGGGAGTGGAGGGGCAATCCAAGACGTGGCGCTTCATATTTCAAAATGCGAACATTAAGGGCGCGTGTCTTTTGGTTTTTATACGCAAAACTCGGATTTTGGGTTGAACTGTATGCATTTAAACCTAGGTCGACCTAGGCTCGAGTATATCCACATCTTCAAACCGAGTCGCGGCTCCAACACCCCCGAGAATCACAGGACACACAATAGTTCAACTATCGAAGTTGAACTTTTGAGCCCCGGCCGAGTCGTGGTCTTTTCTCGTAGGTTACCCGGTTTGGGTTGGAGTCTCGTAGGTTGCCACGTGTGTGTTGCCGAAGCCGGCACTCAATCTGACGACGTCGCTAGTGCGCACGAAGCTGGCTGTTAGCGTCGCAGAATTCGCATCTTCGTCGTCTGCGGTCAGCTGGACACACGCTTGCGTTTTCGTGCCAACATGTTTGTTGAAGAAAGTTCAACTCCGGATTCGTAATTTCAAACCCCCGATGTTATCCTTGGACACACGACGTCTTCGCGAAACAACTTGCGACAGCTGCGAAAATGGTAACCAGCAAAAGTTCAACCAAAAATCCGAACGTCTACAGAAAAAGACACGCGCCCTAAAAACTGCTGTTTGAAATGCCCGTATTCGCTATGGGGAAAGGTGAGCCGAGAAGGTGAATTTTGACAATGCGGTGTTGTAAAAATACAAAATAAGGACATAGTACAACCCATTGTTACTGGTGCAATGTGGGTAGCGTAGAGAGAATTGCTGCAACTAATTCCTTTGAGTCACTGTACGCGTACAAATCCAACTTTCGGGGTTCAGGCTCGGTCCGATGACCTCGCCCTTCAAACCACCACTGAGCCTTCGGGTTTTCCCAACCCGAACCTGCGCCCAACCATTCGCGGCCCTGTGACCTCGGCTCGGCCTAGCTAGCCTTTGTTATATTAGTGTTGTATTCACTTAGTCGCTTAGTACTTGTATTCACTTCCGCGTTAAGTAGTTGTATTCACGTCCGCATTATTGAATCCT